GAACTGAGTCTGAGCTAGGGCATAGAGAGTACCATATCTTGCTATTTTTCCTTTGGTTGTTGTTTCTTTTATTTTTGGTGGGCTATTTGGTTTGGTTATTTTAGTTTTTTCTTGAGTCTTTAAAAACCAATATGCAAGGTATCATATACCATTTATACATATGTATATATGATTTATACAATATGTAAATTTTTAAGGATGAATCACAAATAATGTGCAAGACTAATGTTTGGGATGCTGCAAGCCATGAAAAGAAGAAATATTCTCTGATCCTGTGTAAGCTTTTTAGCTATCCAAGTATAGGGTCAATAAATAAAAGTAATGTTTTCAGAAGTGTTGAAGATGAATTTAGAGTAGGATTTTTCTTCCAGAATATAATTTTATGGTTGGGGGTCACCACAGTATGAGAAACTATATTAAAGGGTCACAGCATTATGAACATTGAGAACCCCTGTTCTAGGCTATCTCATATTCTCCCTAGTTTTTCCACGTGCCATCTTTTCTGGGCATGTGAAAGAGACTGATAGTATAGTGTGGTTTCTTTGTGGTTCAGTGTTGGTTTTGAGAGCTTTGAGATCTAGTTCTCCTTGTTCAAGTTTTTGTCTGGACTGCTAACATTTAGAAGGATGGTATTTAATTAAGGGTTGAGAATGTGACAGTTCTGAACTGGGAGAAGGGCTATCCTACCTCTAGGTTCTACAGTACCAAGATATTATTTACACACTTTGCCCATTTTTAATTTTCCATAGGGTTTTTGGGTCTAGTTTGCTTTCTGATAAGCAATAAGGATTTAGAAGTTAAGGTATCTGTCACTTTTGTCCCAGCTGGTAATGGTGAGCATGCATGCAATACTGCCATTTCGGGGGTAGAAGCAAGGGAGATTAGCAGTCAATTGCCAAACTTGGCTCAAAAGCAACTTTTGAGGCCAGCCTGAGCTATGTGAGATCCTGTCTGAAAAATAAAAATAAAAGAAAGAACTGAAGAAATAACAGAAGGGAGGGAAAGAGAAAAGAGCCCGAGCAAACAACTTAATAGGTAAAGTGCCTACCACACAAGCATAAGGACCTGACTTCAGATGGATAGCACCCATGTGAAAGCTGGGTGTGGTAGCATGTGTTTGTAACCCAGTGCTGGGTGAGGGACAGAAATGGGTGGTTCTCTAGAGCTCATTGGCTAGCTAATCTAGCCAAATCCATGAGCTCCAGGTTCATTAAGAGATCTTTTCTCAAATATAATGTAGAGGGCTAGGGAAATGGCTCAGCATCTAAAGAACTTATGGTACAAGTGTAGGGACCCAAGTTTAAATGCCTAGAACCCCCATGAAGCTGAGCATAGTAGTGCACATCTGAAATCCCAATGCTCCTATAGCTAGTCTGGCAACACAGTGACGAACAACACACAAAAAGGAAACCATGACTCAAAAATATGGAATATGATGAGCAACACCGGATCTCCACACATCCACTGTGGCACACATGCATCTGTTCTCATGAACAAATACAGATACACACACACACACACACACACACACACACACACACACACACCCTCACATATCATACACACACATAAACATACATAATTCATTCACATATAAAGGAAAGATATAAAAACAATGTGAAGGATGATTTTGTTTCCATACACATGCCCATGTAGAGGCATCTGTCCCCAAACACAAAATGTGCATACACACCCACACTCATGCAAGGAAAGAAATGAAAGAAATGGAAGAAAAAAGAGAGAAAAAGAAAAGAATAGGCAAGGAAAGGCATGCAGAGGAAGAGAGAAGGATAGGAGAGAAAAGGAGAGATGAGACAGACTGGGGCTATGCTGTCTAGGTGGTACTGGGAACTTTGGAAGCCCAGAGTAACATGCAGGACATCAAAATACTCAAAGAGATATTATATAAAAATATACTTATCAGATAAAAATATGGAGACTTGAGATCATCCCAGTTGATCCAAGAACATTTCCAAGGTTTCCATAGTGTTGACTGATGTTACAAAAATCCTGAACCATACTTATATGTTGAGGTTGACAAAAGAAAAGAGGTTTTAAAAGTTATTTTATCAGCAGTTCTTAACCTATAGGTCACGACTCCTATGGGGGTGGGGGTGTACAAAACCATTTCATAGGGGTCACATCAGATATCCTACATATATTTACATCATGATCCACAACATTAGCAAAGTTAGTTATGCAGTATCAATGAAAATAATTATATTTGAGGGTTACCACAACACGAGGAAGTATATTAAAGTGTGTCAGCATTAGGAAGGTTGAGAACCACTGTATTATATTAAAATAAGACCTATTGGTAAGTTAAAAGGAAAGGAAATGAGTCCTCTCTCCTTTCTTTTTCTTTCTTCCCTTCCTTCTTTCTTTCTTTCTTTCTTTCTCTATCTCTGTGTCTTTCTCCTTCTAGGTTCATTTAAACTTGGGGGGAAAGATGACAGATCTCTTAAGAAGTGTTGTCACCGTCATTGATATATTCTACAAATACACCAAGCAAGATGGAGAATGTGGCACACTGAGCAAGGATGAGCTAAAGGAACTTCTGGAAAAAGAGTTTCGTCCAATTCTGAAGGTATGTGTCAAGTCAGAAGGCTGTTGGGGGTCTGTACACGTTCCAAGAGTAGCAGAAAGTGCATATTCCTAGCCAATTTTGAAAAAAAATCCAAGTAATAGTCTTTTGAGCTAGTGAATCATAAATCTATTAAATCAGCATATATTTTTAAACATATGTTTCTTCCATATATTCCTGTGCCTTTCTACCTTCTAGACTACAACTTTCTCATTCACTCAGGCTTCTTGTTCCAAGTAAATAAATATGTGTTAGGAAATTAATTAATTGATTGATTATTCTATCAAATGGAGAACAATGTTATGGAGGAATGTCAACTTCTTCCACAGATCACAATAGTCTTTATTTTCTATTAACCTTCCACATATACTAAGTCCTATGAACCTAAAGTAATACTCAAATGAATTAAAATCGTATAACACACAATGTATACTAGGTGCTACTAGTTTATTTTACATGAGAATGAGTCTGGGCTGACCAAGTCTTCTTCCTTGGTGTGTCTCTCATATACAGAATCCAGATGATCCAGACACAGTAGATGTCATCATGCATATGCTGGATCGAGATCATGACCGAAGACTAGACTTTACTGAGTTTCTTCTGATGGTATTCAAACTGGCTATGGCCTGCAACAAGGTTCTTGGAAAAGAATACTGCAAAGCTTCAGGGTCAAAGAAGCGTAGGCATGGTCATCAACATCAAAAGAAAGAAAGTGAAACAGAAGAAGAAGAGACACCGAGACAGAAATTAGGTTTCAGACATTCAAGTTGGAGTGAAGGAGAGGAGCATGGACATAGTTCTGGAAGGTCATGGGGAACTGCAAAGCATAGACATAGGTCCAACTCTAGGGGGTTGGAAAGGCAAGGTGAATTATCCAGCTCAGAGGAACCTAGGACAAAACACCATGACTCTAGCTCTGGTCACTCTTGGAGCAGTAATGAAGAGAGACATGGTTCCAGCTCTGAAGAGATAGAAGAAAAAATAAACAAGTCACATTCTAGGCCCTCTAGAGAATCTGGGGAAGAAAGTGAATCAGGGGAAGAAAGTGAATCTGGATCTAGGTTAAACAGTCAGGGAAAGAAAGGTCATGGTGGATTGTCACATGGACTGGAGAAGAACAAACATAAATCAAATTCTACTCAGTCAAGAAAGGGTAGAGAACAAAAGCTTGGACCTAGCTCTGCAAGCTCAGGAAATAGTAAGACACAAAGTCATACATGTGGACACAACAATTCCAGTGGATGTTGCAGACCGCAAAATGCTTCAAGTTCTTGTCAGGAAAGTAGATCTGGAGGGCAAGGAACTCAATCTTGTTGCACCCAGTCAAGATGTCAGTCAGGAACTAGTGGAGGACAAGGCTATGGATGTGTCTCAGGAGGTCAGTCCTCTAGATGTTGTCAACCTGAACCTAGATCCTGTAGCCAGTCTTCTAGTCAGAAGGGGTATGGATCTCAACAATGTAGTCAGCCACAGAACGGAGGAAGACAGCAGAGAATGGGGTCAAGCCATTCGTCATGCTGTGGATCTGGAGCAACTCAATCTTCTAGTAACAGTCAACATGGAACCAGGTCCTGTGGACACTCTTCAAACTCTCATCAAAAGGGGAGTAGTTCGAATGAATTTTCCAAATGTGGTCAGTACGGGTCTGGTTCAGGACAGCCATCCTGCTGTGAACAACATGGGACAAATTCAAAACAGTCCTCTGGCTTCAAACAACATGGACATGGATCAGGTCAGTCTTGCTGTGGCCAACATGGTACTGCATCAGGTCAATTCTCAGGATGTGGTCAACATGGGTCTAACACAGGTCAGTCATCTGGGTTTGGGCAGCATCAGACTGGTTCAAATCAGTCATCTAGCTCTGGGCATCATGGGTCTCATTCAGGACAGTCATCTGGGTTTGGGCAGCAGGAATCTGGACCTGGTCAGTCATCTGGCCATGGGGAACATGGGTTTGGATCAGGTCAGTCATCTGGGTTTGGGCAGCATCAGACTGGTTCAAATCAGTCATCTAGCTCTGGGCATCATGGGTCTCATTTAGGACAGTCATCTGGGTTTGGGCAGCAGGAATCTGGACCTGGTCAGTCATCTGGCCATGGGGAACATGGGTTTGGATCAGGTCAGTCATCTGGGTTTGGGCAGCATCAGACTGGTTCAAATCAGTCATCTAGCTCTGGGCATCATGGGTCTCATTCAGGTCAGTCATCTGGGTTTGGGCAGCATCAGACTGGTTCAAATCAGTCATCTGGCTCTGGGCATCATGGGTCTCATTCAGGTCAGTCATCTGGGTTTGGGCAGCAGGAATCTGGACCTGGTCAGTCATCAGGCCATGGGGAACATGGGTTTGGATCAGGTCAGTCATCTGGGTTTGGGCAGCATCAGACTGGTTCAAATCAGGCATCTAGCTCTGGGCATCATGGGTCTCATTCAGGTCAGTCATCTGGGTTTGGGCAGCAGGAATCTGGACCTGGTCAGTCATCAGGCCATTGGGAACATGGGTATGGATCAGGTCAGTCATCTGGGTTTGGGCAGCAGGAGTCTCAACCTGGTCAGTCATCAGGCCATGGGGAACATGGGTATGGGTCAGGTCATTCATCTGGGTTTGGGCAGCAGGAGTCTAGAACTAGTCAGTCATCTGGCTATAAGGAGCATAGCTATAGATCAGGTCATTCATTTGGGTCTAGGCAGCACGAGTCTGGACCTGGTCAGTCATATGGCTATGGGGAACATCACACTGGATCAGGTCAGGTGTCAAGCTATGAGAGACATGGTTCTGGATCTGGTCAGTCATTTAGCTCAGGGCAAGGCAAGTTGGGACAAGAGGAATATCACCATGGACAGTCAGGTAGCACAGGACACAGTGGAAAGGGAACCATTCAAAGGCAATCTAGAGACACTAGTGGACAGAGTCAGGCTGGCCATGCAGAGACCTCACATTCCAGCTCTAGGAGAAGTCCCAGAGGAAGCCCAGTTCACCCTGATTCCAGTGAGGGAGAGGAACACTCAGTAGTCTCTCACAGACACTCTGGATCCTCTCAGGGTCATGGAGTTCAACATGGAGAGTCTGGGCCAGCAGTTCATGGCAGAGAAGGAGCTCCTCAGAGGCAATCTAGGGACAGCAGTAGACAGCCTCAGGCTGGCCAGGGTCGGTCCCCGCAGTCAGGCCGTGGGAGAAGTCCTAGAGGAAGTCCTGTTCACCCTGAATCCAGTGAGGGAGAGGAACACTCAGTAGTCTCTCACAGACACTCTGAATCCTCTCATAGGAGTGGTGGAGTTCAGCATGGAGAGTCTGGGCCATCAGTTCAGGGTAGAGAGGGATCATCTCAGAGGCAATCCAGGGACAGCAGTAGACAGCCTCAGGCAGGCCGTGGGCAGTCTCCACAGTCAGGCTCTAGAAGACATCCCAGAGGAAGTCCAGTTCACTCTGAATCCAGTGAAGGAGAGGAACACTCAGTAGTCTCTCACAGACACTCTGGTTCCTCTCAGGGTCATGGAGTTCAACATGGAGAGTCTGGGCCATCAGTTCAGGGCAGAGAGGGGTCATCTCAGAGGCAATCCAGGGACAGCAGTAGACAACCTCAGGCAGGCCATGGGCGGTCTCCACAATCAATTCCTGAGAGAAGTCCCAGAGGAAGTCCAGTTCACCCTGAATCCAGTGAGGGAGAGGAACACTCAGTAGTCTCTCACAGACACTCTGGATCCTCTCAGCGCCAAGGAGTTCAACATGGAGAGTCTGGGCCAGCAGTTCACGGCAGAGAAGGAGCTCCTCAGAGGCAATCTAGGGACAGCAGTAGACAGCCTCAGGCTGGCCATGGACAGTCTCCACAGTCAGGCTCTAGAAGACATCCTAGAGGAAGTCCTGTTCACCCTGAATCCAGTGAGGGACAGGAACACTCAGTAGTCTCTCACAGACACTCCGAATCCTCTCATAGGAGTAGTGGATTTCAGCATGGAGAGTCTGGGTCATCAGTCCGTGGCAGAGAGGGATCATCTCAGAGGCAATCCAGGGACAGCAGTAGACAGCCTCAGGCAGGCCGTGGGCAGTCTCCACAGTCAGTTCCTGGGAGAAGTGCAAGAGGAAGTCCTGTTCACCCTGAATCCAGTGAGGGGGAGGAACACTCAGTAGTCTCTCACAGACACTCTGGTTCCTCTCAGGGTCATGGAGTTCAACATGGAGAGTCTGGGCCAGCAGTTCATGGCAGAGAGGGATCATCTCAGAGGCAATCCAGGGACAGCAGTAGACAGCCTCAGGCAGGCCGTGGGCAGTCTCCACAGTCAGGCTCTAGAAGACATCCCAGAGGAAGTCCAGTTCACTCTGAATCCAGTGAGGGAGAGGAACATTCAGTAGTCTCTCACAGACACTCTGGATCCTCTCAGGGTCATGGAGTTCAACACGGAGAGTCTGGGCCAGCAGTTTACGGCAGAGAAGGAGCTCCTCAGAGGCAATCTAGGGACAGCAGTAGACAGCTTCAGGCTGGCCATGGACAGTCTCCACAGTCAGGCAGTGGGGGAAATCCTAGAAGAAGTCCTGTTCACCCTGAATCCAGTGTGGGAGAGGAACATTCAGTAGTCTCTCACAGACACTCTGAATCCTCTCAGGGTCATGGAGTTCAACATGGAGAGTCTGGGCCATCAGTTCAGGGCAGAGAGGGGTCATCTCAGAGGCAATCCAGGGACAGCAGTAGACAGCCTCAGGCTAGCCGTGGGCAGTCTCCAAAGTCAGGCTCTAGAAGACATCCCAGAGGAAGTCCAGTTCACTCTGAATCCAGTGAGGGAGAGGAACACTCAGTAGTCTCTCACAGACACTCTGGATCCTCTCAGGGTCATGGAGTTCAACATGGAGAGTCTGGGCCAGCAGTTCATGGCAGAGAAGGAGCTCCTCAGAGGCAATCTAGGGACAGCAGTAGACAGCCTCAGGCTGGCCATGGACAGTCTCCACAGTCAGGCCCTGGGGGAAATCCTAGAGGAAGTCCTGTTCACCCTGAATCCAGTGAGGGAGAGGAACACTCAGTAGTCTCTCACAGACACTCTGAATCCTCTCATAGGAGTGGTGGAGTTCAGCATGGAGAGTCTGGGCCATCAGTTCAGGGTAGAGAGGGATCATCTCAGAGGCAATCCAGGGACAGCAGTAGACAGCCTCAGGCAGGCCGTGGGCAGTCTCCACAGTCAGGCTCTAGAAGACATCCCAGAGGAAGTCCAGTTCACTCTGAAACCAGTGAGGGAGAGGAACACTCAGTAGTCTCTCACAGACACTCTGAATCCTCTCAGGGTCATGGAGTTCAACATGGAGAGTCTGGGCCATCAGTTCAGGGCAGAGAGGGGTCATCTCAGAGGCAATCCAGGGACAGCAGTAGACAGCCTCAGGCTAGCCGTGGGCAGTCTCCAAAGTCAGGCTCTAGAAGACATCCCAGAGGAAGTCCAGTTCACTCTGAATCCAGTGAGGGAGAGGAACACTCAGTAGTCTCTCACAGACACTCTGGATCCTCTCAGGGTCATGGAGTTCAACATGGAGAGTCTGGGCCAGCAGTTCATGGCAGAGAAGGAGCTCCTCAGAGGCAATCTAGGGACAGCAGTAGACAGCCTCAGGCTGGCCATGGACAGTCTCCACAGTCAGGCCCTGGGGGAAATCCTAGAGGAAGTCCTGTTCACCCTGAATCCAGTGAGGGAGAGGAACACTCAGTAGTCTCTCACAGACACTCTGAATCCTCTCATAGGAGTGGTGGAGTTCAGCATGGAGAGTCTGGGCCATCAGTTCAGGGTAGAGAGGGATCATCTCAGAGGCAATCCAGGGACAGCAGTAGACAGCCTCAGGCAGGCCGTGGGCAGTCTCCACAGTCAGGCTCTAGAAGACATCCCAGAGGAAGTCCAGTTCACTCTGAAACCAGTGAGGGAGAGGAACACTCAGTAGTCTCTCACAGACACTCTGAATCCTCTCAGGGTCATGGAGTTCAACATGGAGAGTCTGGGCCATCAGTTCAGGGCAGAGAGGGGTCATCTCAGAGGCAATCCAGGGACAGCAGTAGACAGCCTCAGGCTAGCCGTGGGCAGTCTCCAAAGTCAGGCTCTAGAAGACATCCCAGAGGAAGTCCAGTTCACTCTGAATCCAGTGAGGGAGAGGAACACTCAGTAGTCTCTCACAGACACTCTGGATCCTCTCAGGGTCATGGAGTTCAACATGGAGAGTCTGGGCCAGCAGTTCATGGCAGAGAAGGAGCTCCTCAGAGGCAATCTAGGGACAGCAGTAGACAGCCTCAGGCTGGCCATGGACAGTCTCCACAGTCAGGCCCTGGGGAAATCCTAGAGGAAGTCCTGTTCACCCTGAATCCAGTGAGGGAGAGGAACACTCAGTAGTCTCTCATAGACACTCTGAATCCTCTCATAGGAGTGGTGGAGTTCAGCATGGAGAGTCTGGGCCATCAGTTCAGGGTAGAGAGGGATCATCTCAGAGGCAATCCAGGGACAGCAGTAGACAGCCTCAGGCAGGCCGTGGGCAGTCTCCACAGTCAGGCTCTAGAAGACATCCCAGAGGAAGTCCAGTTCACTCTGAAACCAGTGAGGGAGAGGAACACTCAGTAGTCTCTCACAGACACTCTGAATCCTCTCAGGGTCATGGAGTTCAACATGGAGAGTCTGGGCCATCAGTTCAGGGCAGAGAGGGGTCATCTCAGAGGCAATCCAGGGACAGCAGTAGACAGCCTCAGGCTAGCCGTGGGCAGTCTCCAAAGTCAGGCTCTAGAAGACATCCCAGAGGAAGTCCAGTTCACTCTGAATCCAGTGAGGGAGAGGAACACTCAGTAGTCTCTCACAGACACTCTGGATCCTCTCAGGGTCATGGAGTTCAACATGGAGAGTCTGGGCCAGCAGTTCATGGCAGAGAAGGAGCTCCTCAGAGGCAATCTAGGGACAGCAGTAGACAGCCTCAGGCTGGCCATGGACAGTCTCCACAGTCAGGCCCTGGGGGAAATCCTAGAGGAAGTCCTGTTCACCCTGAATCCAGTGAGGGAGAGGAACACTCAGTAGTCTCTCACAGACACTCTGAATCCTCTCATAGGAGTGGTGGAGTTCAGCATGGAGAGTCTGGGCCATCAGTTCAGGGTAGAGAGGGATCATCTCAGAGGCAATCCAGGGACAGCAGTAGACAGCCTCAGGCAGGCCGTGGGCAGTCTCCACAGTCAGGCTCTAGAAGACATCCCAGAGGAAGTCCAGTTCACTCTGAAACCAGTGAGGGAGAGGAACACTCAGTAGTCTCTCACAGACACTCTGAATCCTCTCAGGGTCATGGAGTTCAACATGGAGAGTCTGGGCCATCAGTTCAGGGCAGAGAGGGGTCATCTCAGAGGCAATCCAGGGACAGCAGTAGACAGCCTCAGGCTAGCCGTGGGCAGTCTCCAAAGTCAGGCTCTAGAAGACATCCCAGAGGAAGTCCAGTTCACTCTGAATCCAGTGAGGGAGAGGAACACTCAGTAGTCTCTCACAGACACTCTGGATCCTCTCAGGGTCATGGAGTTCAACATGGAGAGTCTGGGCCAGCAGTTCATGGCAGAGAAGGAGCTCCTCAGAGGCAATCTAGGGACAGCAGTAGACAGCCTCAGGCTGGCCATGGACAGTCTCCACAGTCAGGCCCTGGGGGAAATCCTAGAGGAAGTCCTGTTCACCCTGAATCCAGTGAGGGAGAGGAACACTCAGTAGTCTCTCACAGACACTCTGAATCCTCTCATAGGAGTGGTGGAGTTCAGCATGGAGAGTCTGGGCCATCAGTTCAGGGTAGAGAGGGATCATCTCAGAGGCAATCCAGGGACAGCAGTAGACAGCCTCAGGCAGGCCGTGGGCAGTCTCCACAGTCAGGCTCTAGAAGACATCCCAGAGGAAGTCCAGTTCACTCTGAAACCAGTGAGGGAGAGGAACACTCAGTAGTCTCTCACAGACACTCTGAATCCTCTCATAGGAGTGGTGGAGTTCAGCATGGAGAGTCTGGGCCATCAGTTCAGGGTAGAGAGGGATCATCTCAGAGGCAATCCAGGGACAGCAGTAGACAGCCTCAGGCAGGCCGTGGGCAGTCTCCAAAGTCAGGCTCTAGAAGACATCCCAGAGGAAGTCCAGTTCACTCTGAATCCAGTGAGGGAGAGGAACACTCAGTAGTCTCTCACAGACACTCTGGATCCTCTCAGGGTCATGGAGTTCAACATGGAGAGTCTGGGCCATCAGTTCAGGGCAGAGAGGGGTCATCTCAGCGGCAATCCAGGGACAGCAGTAGACAACCTCAGGCAGGCCATGGGCGGTCTCCACAATCAATTCCTGAGAGAAGTCCCAGAGGAAGTCCAGTTCACCCTGAATCCAGTGAGGGAGAGGAACACTCAGTAGTCTCTCACAGACACTCTGGATCCTCTCAGGGTCATGGAGTTCAACATGGAGAGTCTGGGCCAGCAGTTCACGGCAGAGAAGGAGCTCCTCAGAGGCAATCTAGGGACAGCAGTAGACAGCCTCAGGCTGGCCATGGACAGTCTCCACAGTCAGGCTCTAGAAGACATCCTAGAGGAAGTCCTGTTCACCCTGAATCCAGTGAGGGAGAGGAACACTCAGTAGTCTCTCACAGACACTCTGAATCCTCTCATAGGAGTGGTGGATTTCAGCATGGAGAGTCTGGGTCATCAGTCCGTGGCAGAGAGGGATCATCTCAGAGGCAATCCAGGGACAGCAGTAGACAGCCTCAGGCTAGCCATGGGCAGTCTCCACAGTCAGTTCCTGGGAGAAGTGCAAGAGGAAGTCCTGTTCACCCTGAATCCAGTGAGGGAGAGGAACACTCAGTAGTGTCTCACAGACACTCTGGTTCCTCTCAGGGTCATGGAGTTCAACATGGAGAGTCTGGGCCAGCAGTTCATGGCAGAGAGGGATCATCTCAGAGGCAATCCAGGGACAGCAGTAGACAGCCTCAGGCAGGCCGTGGGCAGTCTCCACAGTCAGGCTCTAGAAGACATCCCAGAGGAAGTCCAGTTCACTCTGAATCCAGTGAGGGAGAGGAACATTCAGTAGTCTCTCACAGACACTCTGGATCCTCTCAGGGTCATGGAGTTCAACATGGAGAGTCTGGGCCAACAGTTCATGGCAGAGAAGGAGCTCCTCAGAGGCAATCTAGGGACAGCAGTAGACAGCCTCAGGCTGGCCATGGACAGTCTCCACAGTCAGGCTCTAGAAGACATCCTAGAGGAAGTCCTGTTCACCCTGAATCTAGTGTGGGAGAGGAACATTCAGTAGTCTCTCACAGACACTCTGAATCCTCTCAGGGTCATGGAGTTCAACATGGAGAGTCTGGGCCATCAGTTCAGGGCAGAGAGGGGTCATCTCAGAGGCAATCCAGGGACAGCAGTAGACAGCCTCAGGCTAGCCCTGGGCAGTCTCCACAGTCAGGCTCTAGAAGACATCCCAGAGGAAGTCCAGTTCACTCTGAATCCAGTGAGGAAGAGGAACACTCAGTAGTCTCTCACAGACACTCTGGATCCTCTCAGGGTCATGGAGTTCAACATGGAGAGTCTGGGCCATCAGTTCAGGGCAGAGAGGGGTCATCTCAGAGGCAATCCAGGGACAGCAGTAGACAACCTCAGGCAGGCCATGGGCGGTCTCCACAATCAATTCCTGAGAGAAGTCCCAGAGGAAGTCCAGTTCACCCTGAATCCAGTGAGGGAGAGGAACACTCAGTAGTCTCTCACAGACACTCTGGATCCTCTCAGCGCCAAGGAGTTCAACATGGAGAGTCTGGGCCAGCAGTTCACGGCAGAGAAGGAGCTCCTCAGAGGCAATCTAGGGACAGCAGTAGACAGCCTCAGGCTGGCCATGGACAGTCTCCACAGTCAGGCAGTGGGGGAAATCCTAGAGGAAGTCCTGTTCACCCTGAATCCAGTGTGGGAGAGGAACATTCAGTAGTCTCTCACAGACACTCTGGATCCTCTCAGGGTCATGGAGTTCAACATGGAGAGTCTGGGCCATCAGTTCAGGGCAGAGAGGGATCATCTCAGAGGCAATCTAGGGACCGCAGTAGACAGCCTCAGGCTGGCAGTGGGCAGTCTCCACAGTCAGGCTCTAGAAGACATCCCAGAGGAAGTCCTGTTCACCCTGAATCCAGTGAGGGAGAGGAACACTCAGTAGTCTCTCACAGACACTCTAGATCCTCTCAGGGTCATGGAGTTCAACATGGAGAATCTGGGTCTCAGAGTCAATCCAGGGACAGCAGTAGACAACCTCAGGCTGGCAATGAGAGTTCCCCAGAGCCCGTCTCTGGGAGAAATCCTAGAGCTGGTCCCATTCACCCTGAGTCCAGTGAGGGAAAGGAACACTCATTAGTTTCTCACAGACACTCTGGATCCTTGCAGGGGAGTAGAGGTATTCAGCATGAAGAATCTGGGTCAGCAGTGAAGGGTAGACAGGGATCATCTCCCAGGCAATCTAGCGACAGCAGTAGACAACCTCAGACTGGCCAAGAGAGGTCACCACAGTCAAGCTCTAGCAGAAGTCCAAAAGGAAGTTCTGTTCACCCAGAGTCTAGTGAGGGTCAAGAACACTCTGTAGTTTCAAGGAGACACTCTGGTTCTACAAAAGGACAGAGAGCATCATCACAAGAATTGTCTCATTCTCGAGTTCAAGGAAGGCAGGGACCTCCTCGTGGGCACTATGGAGATTCTACAGAACACACTGAAATTTCTCGTGAGCATTCTTCCCATTCTGGGTCTTTGACTAATTCTAGAACACCTAGTTCCTATGATTACAGTAACAGTCGTTCTGTAGAAGATTCTGGGTTCTCTCATAGATTCTCTGGATCACAACATGGAGAGTCAGGTTATAATTATTCTGCATCACATAGTACTCATGGGCAGTCAAGTGATAGTCTAAGAAACCAGTCTAGCAGAGCACATGGGCAGTCTTCAAGAAACCATTTTCAGTCACCTAGTACTAGTCAACGTTGGAGACATGGCAGCTATGGCCGTGAAGACTATGACTATGGACAGTCAGGATATGGACCTTCTGGAGGCAGCAGAAGTAGCAGCCGCAATTCTAGTCCTTTGAGGTCAGCACATCAGGCTGGGAACACACATGTGTCAAAATATAGACAGTCTTTCTCTTTGTCTCAGAATGTAGGATCCAAAGCAAATGAAGCCATGGGAGGGCTGAAGCTAAAATATGGAGAATCATACCCACATCATGGGCAGCCAGTTGATTACTACAATCTTACTGAATCTAGTACAACTGGAAAGCTAGAGTCTAGTCATGGACATTCTGTAGAACATGCAAATGACTGTGATGTTAAATATGAATACAGTACAAAAGGAAAACAAGTAATTACCCAAAGCCAGCCAATTGACCAATCTGGTTTTGGCCATAGTCAATATATATCATTTCAGGAACATTCCGAATCCAATTCAATTGGAAATCAAGCTGGATTCAGCACTAATAATAAGCAAGCATATAGCCATGGCCAATCAAGTGATAGCCAGCTGTCAAGTGAAAGCAGAAATGGAAATCAAAAATCTTTTCCCAGTAACTCTCTTCAGAACCTATATTGTATAGGAACTGAAGAGTGTAAATATTTATCAAGTGCAACCACATCGGTTGCGGGAAGACAAGGTCAGGAGCCAGGATCTAACCCATCAGGGACCATCAGAAATATCAGTCAGTATGTAGATGGCAAGAAAACAAGGGACTCTGAATCCAGAGGTTATCAGGAAAGGGGGGAACTATACTCAGGTTCTGCCTATGTAGACAGCTACACTCCACTATATACATATGTCCAACAACAAAGACACCATTACCATTATTTTGATTGAAAGGCCAGTATAAAACATGATAAACCAAGATAAAAACTAAACCAAAGAAGAAAGTACATGCATAGTAAGAAAATAAGACATTAACATGTTTCCTTATTTTGGAAGTAGGTGGTATATTCTTTCATAGTAACTGTATTACTTCTTTAATGTTGCTTGCTGCAATATATTTTTATAGGACTCCACAGACTCTGACCTTCTTGGACAAAAGAAAATAAATTAAGTAAACAGTATTGGAACTATATTCAGAAGTACAAGTTTAAAACGTTTGATTTTGGTGTTTGTAATTAAAATGAACATATAAAACTTCTGTGAGATAAGCATTATGTTTTCCACATGCTATTTTACTTGTTGATTAAAAACTTAACCAAGAAGCAAAGGACACAGTTAAGGAGTCACAATTTTCCTAGCAATATTATAACCCATCCATGTACTGAACAAAGAATTTGCTTGTTTCTTGGGTGGAGAGTCAGAATATTTTCATCTTTTGTGTCATCACTGGAATCTGTATTGCTATTGAATTTATTGTCATGATCTCCTAGATGGAAGAATAAGAAAATTGTATTGCATTAAAATTTGACAATAAATTTTTAATCTGAATATGGCTTCTCTTTTTTATTTCTACAAACATAACTCCTTGACAAGGGATCAGATGCACATTTTTCTTCTACCTCTGGATAACCAGCAGCAGTAAAATACTCAGATGCTAACAATGCAGAGTCAAAAGAAGGAAAAATATCAACCACATCTCACTCTTTCCTCCCTTTAATTACTGTCAAAATCATTTACAGAAAGACTTCATACTAAATTGACTGGAAATGCTTTTATTAATCATCACAACACAGGAAAGAACAAATATAATTCTAAATTGCCATTTCCTAATAGAGTCCAAGCTCTGGGAATACGACTTATGGGCTGTAGACTTTCTCTGTTAAATTCATGAATAGAAATATCCATGCCACTAAAGGTTATGGGACACCTACATTTCCTATTGAAAAAAAAGCAATTAATATGTTCCTGAATAGAAGGAGAAAACTCATGAATTTTTTATGAATAGTTAAAAAAGTAACAGAAAAATACATACAAGATATTAACTTCAGCAGAAAGTTTACTACTACTATTGTACCAATGATAATTTCCAGAATGTCAAAAGTAGTTATGAACTTTAAAATGTTTTCCCAAGTTTGCAATTTCAAAGTAAAGGCCAAGCAAAGCATATTTTATGAAAGAGTAACAATTTTCAAAACAGAATTTTATGTTCTACTCCTCTTTGTCCCTAATTCAAACTGTTTTTCTTGACCTTCCCTGTGGAATTCAAACTAAGAGAAATTCCTGGGTGAGTATATAAAACCACGAACCCTAACATTTCAAAATGCAGGGAGGTACCACACCATCACCTCTTTTGTAAGGAGGAGCCTCAACAGCATTTGTAGTTATATTCTGAGATGAGTGACCATGGCGGAACACCAGCACTAGAAGGGTAGACCATTGTAAGAATCATAGACCTGGGACAGAAACATAGTGATAAAGAGGGGAGAGTCATCATCCTGGTGTGTCCTGTCCTCCCGCAATTACCTGGCGACTCTCTCCTCTTTACTACATTTTCCAGAATCCTCCTCGACTCCTAGTCCCACCTATCTTACTTCCCTATTGGCCAACAGTGCATCATTTATACCAGTCAGACAAACATATGCACAGAAGAACTTCCCCCATTAGTGAGAAACTAAAGATTCTGCATCTACCACTCACAACTCCAGAGGAGGGGTATTCTGCAGTCACATGTAGGTTGTGACCTTTGCAGGGTAATGAGAGTCCTATCAAACTCTACCTCCATGGATGTGAGCAATTCTACCTACTAGAATATTTCACAACACTTAAAGAATTTTACTTAGATAATAAACTAAAACCCTCACAATCTAAAGCATAACACAACAAACATACAATTAAAGATCAAAGAATATCCAATCATTTCAATGGAAAAAGAAAAAAAACACTCAAAAAATTCAAAACCCTTCTTGATAAAATTCATGAACAAATTAGCTATTGAATTATTATAATTCACCATGCACAATGAGCATCAAATGATGAAGGAGGCATTGCTCCAACTAGACATCTTAATACACCAAGTGAAACCTCCAGTGCTGGGAATAGTTTACCTCTTACTGAGTCATTGGCCCATTGAAACCCCAAAACATCACAACTACTGCCAAGGCTATTGTTTTCTCACTACAATCTGATGGTAAGGTCCTATTGCTGAAGATAACACTTACATATCTCATTGAACATGAAAAATTTGACTGAACATGGAAAAGTTGAACTGGTGCCTAACTAGAAACATCACTCCTACTGACTAGTGTTCATGATCCTGATAGTTACTCTACACACTATTAGAGGAGAAGGGGAATCACCAATATCATCCACATTAAACTGACCTGCAACAAAAATGCCTGCAAGACAAACTGATGCAATTGTGACACAACCACTTTTTGATTGGATTTAAGGGCCATCAATGCAGTAGAACCCATACTTGACACTGGTAATGTATTAAGATAAATAGACTGAAACTAGATAGGTCCAGAAACTAAGGAAAAACCAAATACTATTATTCTTCTAAAAAAGCATAGCAGTAAAATTACTCCTAATGACATAATGCTATGTAGATCAGTGCCTCACTCAACCCACATCAAAGAAGCATCTTGCAGTGTATACCATATACAGAGACCTACAGCTGGACAATGTGCAGAGAGTGAGCCCTTAGTCCTAAATAGGATCAAACCCCTCCCCTCAACACTCAGGAATCTATGTAGAAAAGGAAGTAGAAAGAGTATAATAGTGGTAAATGACTCCAGAGAAACAGTGTCTTCCAGATACGACTGAACTGGTCCACATATAAACTCAATGAGACTGACGCACGCACAAGACCTGCACAGATCAAGCCAGACAAGGTCCCACCTCTAAACCAAGACACTATCTGGAACTGAGACCCACTGATCAAAATATGTTGCAAAAAATTATAATTAAAAGTGTAAAAATGCAAAAGATGTTAGAAAAGAAGGACTGTGCATGACCAAATGAAACAAACAAAAATGAAGTCATGTAGAAGGAGAAAAGCGAAGCAAATATTTTTTTAAAAAGGAAACAAAAGGGATATAAAGAGGAAGACAGTCCATGATCACTGTTTGCAGATACTAAAACTCTATATACTGAACAAACTTATACTTCACAAAAAGACTACTAGAATTGATTGATCCAGTAAATTTGCATTTGCAAGTTTAGGATACAAAGATCATTAGGTTTTGCTAAGAAACCCAAAACACACCTATGAATAAAATTAACTTCAAAAATAAAAGGCCTCTAAATGAATATTGTAAACAGCTTAATAGTGCTGTTCAGACAGGCAACACCAATATATTATGCATATAATATATCATATATAACAATAATAGTTGAAGAATTAAAGAACATGAATTTGACTGGAAAATTTAGGGGGAAACATGGGAGGAGGGAAGGAGGGATAATATGATCAAAATGTGTTACACTTATGTATGAAATTCTCAAAAAATGAAAGTTATGAATATCCTTATACCCACAGGTAAGTGTAATCCTCACATATCACTAAGGAATCTTCTCTTTGCAGCAGACAGAGGTCACCACAAAAAAACACAACTGATCAACATGTAGTTGTGAGACTAGTACCAATGGATACATCGCAAAACTCTCCCCCACCTAAAGGTCATGGAATATTGTAGAAAAGTAGGCAGGAAGATTTGCAGAGTCAGAGAGAGGATCAGGGACATTGCTGTGAGATTGTGTCTCCTAGTAACATCAAAACTATACCTGTAACGTCTCACCAACACACTACCCGAATATGAGCTGACAAGGAGGATAACAACAAATACGCCAAACTGGATGGGGAAAGGCCCAAGAGGCCTCAGTCCTACTCAGCCTTTACTCAGATAACTGAGTAAAGCTGGAGTGGCAGAGGTGGTCCTCCCCAGGGAAGAGCACTCCAATTGTTTGTCTAGTGCCAAATGGACAACCCTGAAAACAAGCATAAAAGTAACATTATATGGACTTAACAGACTATATTTAAGAATATATGTATACAAAATATATATCCATGCAATAGCAAGTTATGTTAAGAAGAAAGAGGCCCTGAATTTGAAGGAGAGTGAGGATGGTATGAAACGGTTTGGAGAGAGGAAAGTGAAGGGAAATGTTGTAATTAAAAATAGTCTCTAAACAAGAAAAACTTAAAAATGTAAAAGAAAATTACAAAAAATAAAAGTGTAAAAAGACATGTAATAATCATGAATTGTGATAAAGATTATTTAAATGTTAATATTATACAGACTCAATGCTATCCCATAAAAATGCCAATGATGTTCTTCATAGAACTAGAAAAAATCCCCAAATTATTGTGGAAGTTCAGTGTATCTGCAGAAAGCAGAGGTAGAAATTCAAAGAAAGTAAGGAAAGAGGAAGAGAGGGCTGGAAGAGGGAAGTAGGGAGGGAGGATACTCAGAAAATACAACTGGCACCACACAGAAGTTCAGTCTAAGCAAACAAGAGACCTAGATTCTGCATTGCACATTGGCACAAGGGAGTGCTTCTTTCTTCCCAGCTTATAATGAGCCATCTTCACAAGATATCAGCAAAGCCTACTGCTATGGAAATCCAAGTCACCTATATTTTCCAGTCTCTAGAAAGGTCAGGATGCACTAAATGTTGAAAGACTACCATTACAGTGAAGGAAAGACACTGAATCAAAAGTTAAAGTCATGTTCTAGAAGCTCCTTATTTATGTTCTGTATAATGAGAAAAGTCAGGGCAACAAATGACAGACATTATCCAAAAGAGAAAAAGAGAAGGGTGTTGGGAATGATCAAAAGAAGTTACAAGACAGCTTGAAAGTATGAGGAATAGAAAGGTTATCCAATGGAAAGTAGAAAACAGCTCAATGTTCCTTAGTAGGAAGATAAAGTCAAAGCCATGACTACAATGTAATCTAAGAATCAATGTTGAAAGCAGATTGTCATTGACAGCCTCAGATGAGCCCAGAGTTCTCCTAAGCCTTATGTCCAGTGGTGAGATTTGTTGTGACAATGACTTCTCCTGTGTGGAATGAGAGAATCAAAAAAGATATCCATGTTGTCATTTCCCACATTTCAGAGTCCTTACCTCATTATAGTGTCTGGGTAGGAACTGAGATGCTTACTAAAGACACAGAAAAATCTACTCAATGAAACCGTAACAGATCAAAATTCTGCGTTCTTTCTCCTACAAATAAAATATCAAGGTGAGGGTGAATGGGGGAGGGGAGGAATCACTTTCTGTTTCCAAGCCACTCCAATGTCTCTCTGCCTTTACTGACTATTTATAGGAAAGGCAGCTTCCCACACTGGGGCAAAACATTCAATATTTGTGTCATTTATTCCACTATGGATGCAAAGAAAACCAAAATGTGTTCAATGCCTATTCATTATTTCACGCACTTTCTCTAAAACAACCTTGCATGTCAAATATTGTGTATATTCTATAGACAAAACTGACTATCATAAAGACTAAAATTTAATCCACATGAGCACAAAGTAGAAATC